ACGTAATGCTTGGGAAAGGCGGAAGGGGCCAGTGCAGCGGAAGCGCAAACCGTGTTCAACTGCTCCAGCTGTGTCCGAGGCAGCCCTGTCATCATGGGTGCACGCAGATGACCCGTCACTGTGACTTTTCATGCTACCACGTGCCATGCATATTGGTTTTGCATCGCCGTATTTCGCAATCGTAGTTTGATGTAGGTATAGGCATTCCCAGTAAACGGCCAGCATCATCCCTGGTCTCATTGTAAGAGTGTGTGCACCAACTTCAAGTTCCAAAAGCTGAGCTCTAAACCCTCAAGGGGGCGTGCGAGTGGCACTTTGAAACTGCACAAACCCTAAACTCTTACACTACAGAATTCATTACAGTATTCATGATGACTGGCGCCATGGACCATCCTGCAAGATGGAACATAAGCTGGGGATTTGGTGCATGATTGGTGCATGCTTTATGGATGAGGTTCTGCATGTATTTTACAGTGCATAAGGGAACGTTTGTCTACGAATTGGTGAATTTGATGCCTGCATGGTGAGACACTGCATGTTTTTGACTCTGCGTGGATGAGACGCTGCAAGTATACGGAGTCTGAATGCTTTGCTGCATGGACATGAGACGGGAGGACATGACGATGTTCTCACTACGACACTGCATGACGACATACGACATGCTTGAGCACTACGTTTTCCTTTTCTGTGACACCTGCATGAGAGCAATGCGCGAAGTGTGAATTGAATGGGTGATCCGAGACGCTGTTTGATACATTGGTTCAAAGTAACCGCTGTAGCAAGGGAGATAATATCGGCCATTTTGAAACAGGGAAGGCCCAGCTTTATACTGTGGACCAAATGAGGGATCAATGTACCTCGCGTCTGTCCTGGCGAACTTCGGGCCCTGCAAGGAAGCGGGGGCGTCGTTCTGCGATGTTACAGTAGCAAGCGCGGACCTTCATCAGCCATGCCAGCCTTGTGCGAGTGTGTGAGTCGAAACTCTTAGGTTCAGCAAAAAGGGCCGGGTTCTTAGGCTCAGTGTTTCGGGTTTAGTTTGTAGGAATGTGCCCCAAGACAAAAAAAGGGTCTAGTGTATCGAGGCCCCTAGCTTCAAGTCTCAGCGTGGTGGTGCACGGAGGTCCGACCGGACCTTTCTGGTCAAAGCGATCCGAGCGGGGAGCCTAAGAAGCCCGAGGCTAACCATCTTTCCCTTTTTTAGAGGGTCTTGTGGGGTGTTGTACAAAAGGAAAGGTTGAAACGACAGGAAGGGGCGCGACGCGAAACTTACCACCCCGAATCTCTGCCTAAACCGTAAAACCCCAAATGCCCTAAAAGTCCTAATAGCCCCTAGCAGCCCTAAACCGGTTAGGACCTTTCGGTTCAGAGAGGTAGTTTCGGTGCTTCTGGGCCGAGTGCTTTTGGTTCGGTTTAGGTCATGTTGAGGGGAGGGTGCAGCCAGAGCATCTGACGAAATAGTTCCTACCGCAGTCCAGCACATCTGCCCTCGCACGGGTCTTCGGCACAATCAGTACGGAGGTTACCAGGGTTTGCCATGCACTTGTGAGGTGCTCCGGGCAAGTGCCAGAGCCCAAGATTCGTTCAGCTCAGCCTTAGCGTTCCCGACAGTAGGTTTGCTGTTGGGCTTTACATGATGACTGCTTGGCTGCCTTGTCGAGACATGTGCAGCAAGCAAAGCTGAGCACTGTCAATCCCGGAGCCCCAAAAACAAACCTTGCACACCTTGTGCTCGTAAGCTCCTATAATTCTCAAGAGATAATGTATGTGCGTGCGTGCATGTGTGTAGAGTATATACACGCGCATATACGCACAGCAAGGCAAGAACACACAGACATGTCTCTTGCACTCGCGCTTTCTCCGGCGCTCTCTCTCTCTCTCTCATATGTATTGTTTATGTTTATACAATACAGGTGAGTATGAATGAGCGAGTGTAGGGATATAATATAATATGAGCACCTCACGCCCCGAGGGGCTCGGGAGCTCTATGGCCCCAAGCTGTAGAGTGCTATAGTTGTGGTGGCCCGAAGCGAAGTTCGTTGAAGCCCTTAAAGCCTGCCCTATAAATCCCTACGAACGGATGAAAGTCCAGAGAGCCTTACACGCCCCTATAAAAGTTGGAGCTTTATTATACCTGTAAGTAGTCATAGCACAAGAAAAGCCAGCTACAAGCCTAGGTGTAGTTCTGCCAGAACCCCTTTCAAGACTATAGTTTATGGCAAAACCCTCGAGTATTGCAGAAGAAGCCGAACACAAGTTTCAGTTTCCTTGACAAGAAGCCGACCTGCCGAGGCCCTAGCACGGGGCCGGGCCCTCAGCTCGTGTTTTTGTTGCTCCAATCAAAATGTTTGCGGGTTTTGCTACAAGGGTTGCAATGGGGTTCTAGAAGGGCGTAGGGGGGTTGGGTTGTAGGATTCGGGTTTTTTAGGGTGTAGGGTTTCTGAACTCTTGCCACTTTCTAGACGGATTGTTGAACGGTTTCCGAGGGACGGTTCAACCATTGACTTTGCTCGTTGGGGTTGAGGTTTGGGATAGCTTGGAAGGAGGACAGCCAGGGATGCAGCTAGCAACTGCTAGTAGCAGGGATACTTGCAAGCCAGCTAGCAGAGAAAAAGATCGAGTGTGGGATAAAGGTAGGAGTGTTGGATTTGGGGTTTTGTGGTTCCAGGCTGATTGGATAGAGCGCGGGGTTCCAAAAAGGGCCTTAGGCCTTAAGGATTCAGGCTGCTCGCTGGGGGCTTTGAGAAAAGGGGGTTCGAAACCCTTCTTCCCCTTGCCTCTTTTCCATTCTCCAGAGCCAGAAGGAAAAGCCGCCTGCGAGCCACGGGACCTCTTCGCCCTCCGGTTTCTGACCACCTTCCGGCTTCCGTCTGGATCCCAGCTTCCGATGAACGAAATTGGGCAGAGCCGAAGCTAGGGAAGTCCAAGGAAGACGTAGAAGTCCCTAGGACCACCGGAAGTGCAAGACTTTAGAGCCCCAACCCACCCTATGTAATCCTTGTGACCTTTTAAAGCCCGAAGCCAAAGCCTACCCTGGTAGGAATCCCTTGAAGGAAGCTTGAAACACTGGACCCGAAGGGTTGGGTTTCGAGCTCCTGGAGTTCGTCAGGGGGGGTACACTGCCTGGGTATTTCTGTACGGGCCCTGCTGTGTCCGACCTAAACTACAATCCTTATAAATGGAAAGTTGTTTTTTGGATTTGTTTTTGGATTTTTTTGGATCATGGAGAGTTTGGATTTTTTTCCGACTTTTCAACAGACCTTGGGCTGATCCAGTAGGAAACAACCATGCTCAGGTTGACACGGCTTGCAAAAGGTTACGGTTAGCTTCAAGATGGTTGCAGAAGCTTCAGAGGCTTGCTTTTGTCCGAGCTGCTGCCAGCGTTTACAACGAGGGCACGGGGATGTTTCTACAATTTGCAAGTCTTCTCTGGAGCTCTTCCGTTGCTGAGAACGTTCTTACATGCTTTTGTCAGTGGTTCATGAGATCGTCGTTGCCTCAAGGCCTAAACCTGAAACGGCTAATGCTGCAAAAAACGGGCATGCTGCCTGCGCGTCACCTTCACACCCGACGTTCTCTCTTCGGAGATGGTGCTGTTTTCACGGCCCTCAACCGGAACGGCCGTTTCTCAGGCCAGAGGTGCATGCACGCATCGAGAAGATCATCGCGGGCGTCATCGAGGTCCTCGGAGCTGCTCCTGGGATTTCTGGTTTGTTGTCGGGTAAACAAGGAACTGCAAGAGGATCTTGTTTCTCATTCAACACCACATACAACTTCGGGATACTTCGGGCGTGTTTTTTTTACCAAGCGCCGAGATCATAGGCTGTGGGCCATGCGACGTTGAAGTTTCGATCTTCGGGCTTTTCTCATGCGCCGGTTACGCATAGTGGGGTCTCGGATTCAGCGTTGAGGGAATTGGGGTCTCCTATGTTGGCTCGGCCGAGCATCCAGATCTTCTGTGCTTCCTTAGTTGCGGCGTCTGAGTTTTGTTTCAAGTATGCCAGCCGAAAACAATTCGAAATTTCAGTTCCTAGCGCCCTAAAGATCCTGAGCACCCTCAGCCAACCAAGAGGTGCGCGTACGAGTGTGTTGTTAGCTTCCCTCTGTGACACGACACCTGCGATACTTTCGAATCCTGCCGTCAGCTAAATCGTGCTTCGCAGCCCGCAGCCACCACGACAACGACCATGACTCTTAAGTTAGTAGGACTGCGTTTGTCGCTGCCATGGTGATTGTGGTTGTTTTTGCGGTTGTGGTTGTGGTGATGGGTGTGGTTGTTGCTGTGTTAGTGGTTGTGTTTGTGGTGGTGGTTGTTGTTTTTGCCACTGCTACCACGGAACTGTTGCTCCTTCTCCGTCTTCTTGTGCAGGCGAGCTGGGAAGAACGCCCTGGCAAGGGAGACTGGGCCGTGCCAGGGCCTGCCTGGGCAAGATTGTCAGGTTGGAGGGCTTTGAGAAGTGGAAGGTTTCGGAGGACTGTTCAACAGGGTTCCTGGTCGTGGGCTGAGGATCGGGTTCTCCGCCGTATTGTCTGGGCCTGATATGCAGGGGCAAACACAGGGGCTTTGAAACTTCGGGGGTTGTTGCTGGTGGCTTGTGGGTGGGTTGGAGTGAGGCTATGGCTTTTGAGTGCTTGTGTTTCAAGGTTTTGGATGTGTACGGTAGACTCTGGCATCCAGGTGGTTGCATGTTCAATATGTGCATATCGATGTGCAGACGAAGTCTTCTTGCTCTTTTGTGTATGCCAACTAAGCAAACCCGGAGCCAGCCAAGCCGTGCAGGAGGCAACCAAAACATAAACCCCACTAGGCCCTAGGCCCCAGGCCCTCAGCCCTCCACCCGAAGCCTTGAACCCAAACCCTGTGGACCCTTGCCTGCCTGGTGCGAGAGTGAGAGTCGAAACCCAAATCCGTAGGAGGTAGCAAAAATCGCGAAACCGTCTCGTGCTGGCTCAAAGAGCTGTGCCTTGGACCGGGTTGCCGTCCCGAGAGAGGCATGCCCACCATGGCCACCAAACTGTCAGACATTCCTCAGGACGTTGCGGCCCTGGTGGCTGGACTTCATAAGGTGTGCAGACGGTTTGATTAGGATAACTTGTATATGGCGTCGTTGACTTTACAAAGCAGTGGCTGGCTTTCACATAGTGCCTAATGCTTTGTAATGAGGGTTGTGCCGTACGACAACCTCAGAACAGGAGTCCGAATCAAGCCAGAACCCCCCTCAAAGGCATGGATCTGCATTGAGCACCTTGCGCAATATGGCATTCACAACCTCGCATGTTGTTGTCTACTCGCATATTGTATTTTTTACTAGATTTCTGAGTAATGCCGGTGTTATAGCCATGTAATTCAGGGTTCTTATTCTATGGGAACGAATGCGCCAAGTAAGTAGATAAGCAAGAAAACGCGCAAGAGAGCAAACGGAGTAGATAAACGCCGGTCTACAAATACTTGTGCGTTTGCACGAATGCATGCGTGAGCAAACGCATCTGGATGCAGGGTCGCATGCCTGTATGTATGTTTGTGGTTCCGCATTCTGTGTACTCGTAGCTCCCGAGAATTGTCAAGTCCCTCCAACGTCCGTGTGCAAGGTGTGTCACTATCTGTGCCTGGGCCGAACTTTGCATTTCCTTTTACGCTGGATATGTTTGTTTTTGTTTAGGATTTGGAGAAAGGGGTCCTGTTCGGAAATGAGCAAATTGGTAGAAACGAAGGGTCTGCCTTCGCAGCTACAGGGTCTACCGCTCACCTCCGACCTCTAAGGTCCTACGCGTGGACACGTCTAGCCGTGTGCACAACTGATCTTGAAGCATCTTGAAGCCCTTGGATTAAACCCAAAACCCTAAAACCCCCCAACCGTAAAACCTCGAGCCCTAAAGCCGTGAGCTCCCTACAAATCGAGACGAGAAGTCTACCCAGCGCGGGAAGCCCGGCTCTCCAAATCGTTCCAGGAATCCCGAAGATGCTCTCCGGCTGTTGCCAGCAAGCCGCAACATTCAGAGCCTCTTGTCTAAGGGTTTAGGGTTCAGGCTCGAACCTCTGAGACGAGTTTGCAGCTTCGCATCAGGGTTGAGGGGTTGGCGTGAGGCGCGCCGAGGGGTTTAGAGTTTAGCGAAGGACGTGGTTCGCGTTGTGTCTCTGAGCTTTGCTAGCGGATTTATTCGCTCTGTGTGCAATGTGTTAGACAGTAACAGAAATAGCAGTCAAGTCTTCACTCGCATCTTTATGAACAGTGAAACGATCGAGATTTTTCAGAGTGCACTTGCAGGTAAGCATGCCCGAGGCGAACCCATTCGATGGGCTCAAGGTAAACCTTGCTGCAGCTTTCGGTTTAGAGTTTGCAGCACAACAGCACCGGGAGGCCCCCGCCGTGACCCGATGTGCTTAGGATCTTCTAGGGCATGGTGCCAAGCGTGCCAAACCTGTATAGAGCACTATGCTACTACAGTAGCACTAGCCCTCGCATCTTCCCAGAGCATGTGCTCGAGACAATGCGAAGACACACAAGCATGTCAGAGCAGGCATCACGCAGCAGCCGGATATTTGGCGATGCTTCTGTTACCTGCGCTGGGGCAGAGGCGGAGCCATCCTAAACGCGCATGATACGCGCATTTAGGGTGAAGTTTCGCGAACGTCGGAGCGGAGGATATTGATGGAACAGGGGTTCGCGGGTGTCTTTATGAGGTAGCCAGTACGACGAGAAAGAAGCCCTGCGTGCCTGGCTTCTTTGCGCTTTCTTTCCTGTCAGCTGGGTGTAGGGTCTTAGCGAAAAGGCTGGTTGTCTTGCTCAGACCCTCCAAAGCCCCGTTCGGAGGAGCCAACCTGCACCTGTATGACCACGCCAAAGATTGCCTTCGCGACCAGAACGGCTGGTTTCCATGGTACCACGGTTGCTGTTGAGGCTTGTGATAACAACCTGCAGCGGCCTGTAATTGTATCGATGAGGCACATGGAGAAGACAGTGTATGTACGCACGGCAGGGTAGGCAGGGCAGGGTAGGGTGAGGTAGCTTGGATGCATGCATTCATTTATGCATTTGCATGTATGCACATACTATCACATACTAGTATATGTACATACACCCGTCTGTACATGATCGTCATCCGTTCTTCCTTCATAGCCATTGCTATTGATGCGGCTATTGCCGCAGTGGTATTGAGTAATTGTCGTAGTAACATCAAGGCTACGACTAGCAATGGTCAGAATAGCACGAACAATGAGGATGTGGGTCATGACAACGATAAGTATAAGTTCTTTCTGCAGCTAGAATGACCTGAATAGCATCCTGAGTATGAGTCGTACGGTTAATATTCACCTTGGTACAGATATTGATGTTAATGCCCATGCTCAAGATCATGATTATCAGGCTGATGATTGCCACTAGTTGCCCGTGTCCCCGCCGATGTTATTGTTATTAGCCATGAAGCAAGCAGACTAAGTAATCAGACGTCGGGAGAGAAGCTTCTGGGCTCCGACATCTAAGGCAAGGAATGGTCCGGTCACCGCCGTTCTTCGAGGTGCGCCGCTTGAAGCCCCTTGACCATTGAATCACACTTTCCTTCGGTTTTGGGGTTCCTACGTTTTATAAATAGGAGTTTTTGTAGATACTATCGATTTTTTGAGTTCTTCTAGTTTAGTAGAGTTCGGACAGCTTCCACCTTTTGTTTCCTTGGTTGCATGGGAAGAAAGGACCCATCAACAGGGATGTGCATCCATGGATCTGCGACCTGGCACCTGTTTTGCTCTGGGGGTCCCGGCCACGGTGGGCTTGGGTTTGGGAGTTTTCAGTGTTGACGATCTAGTATCTTCTTGCTAAACCCTAAACGTTCAACTCTGAACCCTGGCAGAAATGGAGATTGTGGAAACCCTGTACAGCGTCCCCGCCCTCAAAATGCCAAGGCGAACCACCACGCAGGAGCTGGTGACGGTGAGCGAGGCTCTGAGGCGGCTTGCAGACATGAGAGTTCTTCTTTTTTTGTTGAGTGGGAGACTCCAACCCTTAGAAGCATGAAGTCAAAGGCTCAAAGACTCGAAAACCTTAAACCCACTCTTCAGGCTAGGTGGGCCGGAGTAGAGTTTGCAGGAAGTCGTAGCCGTCGTAGGCGAAGCAATGCCTTCGCCTTGCGAGACTAGGGACGACTTTTTCTCCAATACATCTTTGGTTTTTGTATTTCCCCTGATCCTTGTACTGAGGGCGCAAAAGCTCCAACCCCTCAAGCCCCATAGTCCTAGCAAGCTGAACCTCCACCACAGTGGAGACCTGAGGCCGGCTGGAGAGTTGGAATCAAATTCCCTGTTCAGGCTCTGAGTCGCTGCCCGCACGGCCACACGGCTTCCACAAAGGCTCTGAGTGCCCATGCGGGCGGGCAGCCCGCACGGCCACA